TAAATCACAGAGTTCTCCGCTAAAAGCACCAGCCATCTGTCTGTCAGCCTGTTTGTTTTAATTCTGTCTCCCTGTCTTTTATATGTTTTGTTTCCATCTGTCTATTTTGCATGTCTGTTTGTCTTTCTGTCTGTCAGCCTTTATTCTGTCTTGCATGACCATTAATCCTTTGTCTGTCTATCAGTCTCTCTCTCCGCGTGGTATCCTTCTGTCAATTCTGTCTATAGGTACAGTGTAAACCTGCATTACTATATTATATACAAGCTGAATCAATGTAAACCTGTATGATGACTTTACTGAATGTCTGTATGTATGTATGTATGTATAAGAACATAAGAACATAAGAATGGAGGAAACTGCAGCGGGCCTATTGGCCCATACTGGGCAGTCCCGTTTACAACCCTATTGCTCATATAAGCATCCAACCTATGTTTGAAGCTATTCAGCGTATTCGAGTTAATGATGATATTTGGTAACTTGTTCCATTCATCCACAACTCTGTTTCCAACCAGTGTTTACCTATTTCACCCCTAAATCTAAATTTGTCTAATTTAAAACCATTGTTACGAGTTCGCTCCTGGTTGGATAGTTTGAGTACCTTTGTAATGTCCCTTTGTTTAGCCCTGCCTTCCACTTATACACCCTCTATCAGGTCGCCCCTCGCTCTACGTCTCTCGAGGAGTGCAAATTAAGATGCTTTAACCTGTCTCTATACTCAAGGTTCCTAATGCCCGGGATTAGTCTTGTCATTCTCCTCTGAATTCTTTCCAAGGATTCTATATCCATTCTGTAATACGGTGACCAGAACTGAACTGCGTAATCCAGGTGTGGTCTCACAAGAGCAAGATAGTTTTAGGATGACCTCGCTAGTCTTGTAACTAACACTCCTTTGTATGAACCCAAGTACTTTATTAGCCTTGTTACGAGCAAAAACACATTGTTTACTTGGCTTAAGGTTCCTACTTATCATTACTCCTAAATCTCTCTCGCAGTCGGATTTCTCTATGGCATCGTTGTTCATCGTATGTATGTATGTATGTAATCATAATAATAATAATAATAATAATAATAATAATAATAATAATAATAATAATAATAATAATAATAATAATAATAATAATAATAATAATAATTAACGGTTTTTGAAAAGTTCTGAAAAACTTCTGAAGCCCGAAGGCTGAAAATATACATTGGACATAAATGACTAATTACATACAATGGTGGTTTAGCAAAAGCCTTCATTAGAGAAAGGTAAAGGAACATACAGTGAACATACAGATTAATGTTTACAGTGGAGGTAACGTAGATCTTGTGCGCTGAGGTGTTGAACAGCAGACACATAGTGTAGTAACTCCCTCACAGATGACGTTATGAGGGGCCTCATGATGTAGTAATTCCCTTACAGATGGTGTATGAGGGGCCTGATGTGGTGTAGAAATTCCCTCATAGATGGTGTTATGAGGGGCATCACGTGGTGTAGTAGTTCCCTCACAGATGGTGTATGAGGGGCCTGATGTGGTGTAATAATTCCCTCACAGATGGTGTTATGAGGAGCCTCACATGATGCTGTAGCAACTCATTCACTAGGTGGTGTAGCAGCATCATGGGGACACCACGTGGTCTGGTGTCACAGGACCACACTCACTCAAGTGAGTGAGGTGTGGTCCCAGGCCGGATTAACACATAACTGGTGTTGTTGAGTCTCAGGGGCAATTATCACTGGGTTCCTGGGACCTCACTGTGTGAAGGTTAGCTTGGGTAAGACTCAGCTGTTACTGCCGAGTTGTTTTTCACTGACTCAAGCACTGTTCACCACTATTCAACACTGGTTCCATTCCTTTCCTAAATGAAATAGTAACTTCTGGCGAGAACTTGTTGATATTCCGGTGGGGAGGAGGGTTCAGGGGAGGGAGTTGGTATGGGCCAACATAACAGTTGATCTGGCTGCTGCCAGAGCAGCGCCAGGTCCGTCTTGACCCTTCGCCGGTATAAGAACATAAGAATGGAGGAAACTGCAGCAGGCCTATTGGCCCATACTGGGCAGTCCCATTTACACCCAACCCCCATTGCTCATATATCCATCCAAACTATGTTTGAAGCTATGTATGTATGTATGTATGTATGTATGTATGTATGTATCAGTAAGAGCCCTTCCCTCTGGTCAGTATCTAGTATCAAAGCCACCAATCAGCTCCGTAAAACCATAAACGTTTTTTATGAACGTTTTATGTTGACCCCAGCCAAAGTGTAGGGGGGAGGGGGGAGGAGAGGGGAGGGGAAAGAGAGGCGGAAGTTCCCCTTTGCACGCCATCAGCCATCACCTTGATTGCAATACCAGGAACTGCTTTTGCCTTTACGATACCTGTGATTGGTAGATGCTAGGATACCTGTGATTGGTGGATGCTAGGATACCTGTGATTGGTAGATGCTAGGATACCTGTGATTGGTAGATGCTAGGATACCTGTGATTGGTGGATGCTAGGATACCTGTGATTGGTAGATGCTAGGATACCTGTGATTGGTAGATGCTAGGATACCTGTGATTGGTGGATGCTAGGATACCTGTGATTGGTAGATGCTAGGATACCTGTGATTGGTAGATGCTAGGATACCTGTGATTGGTAGATGCTAGGATACCTGTGATTGGTGGATGCTAGGATACCTGTGATTGGTAGATGCTAGGATACCTGTGATTGGTAGATGCTAGGATACCTGTGGTGGTGGATGCTAGGATACCTGTGATTGGTAGATGCTGGGATACCCTGTGATTGGTGAATCTTTAGGATACCTTGATTGGTAGATGCTGGGGATACCTGTGATTGGTGATGCTGGGATACCTGTGATTGGTAGATGCTAGGATACCTGTGAATTGGTGGATGCTAGGTGGCCTCGCGTTGGTAGATGCTGGGATGATACCTGTGATTGGTGGATGCTGGGATACCTGTGATTGGTGGTCTTGGAATACCTGTGATTGGTGGATGCTGGGATACCTGTGATTGGTGGATGCTGGGAATGCCTGTGATTGGTGGATGTTGGGATACACATGATTGGTGGATGTTAGGATACCTGTGATTGGTAGATGCTAGGATACCTAGCCGTTGATAGGATGTTAGGATACTGTGATTGTGGTGGATGTTGGGATACCTGTGATTGGTAGATGTTAGGATACCTGTGATTGGTGGATGTTGGGATACCTGGGTGGTGGGTCCTAGTAGGATACCTGCCTTGATTGGTGGATGTTAGGATCTGTGATTGGTGGATGTTGGGATACCTGTGATTGGTGGATGCTGGGATACCTGTGATTGGTGGATGTTGGGATACCTGTGATTGGTGGATGTTGGGATACCTGTGATTGGTGGATGTTAGGATACCTGTGATTGGTTGATGTTGGGATACTTGTGATTGGTGGATGTTAGGATACCTGTGATTGGTTGATGTTGGGATACTTGTGATTGGTGGATGTTAGGATACCTGTGATTGGTGGATGTTGGGATACCTGTGATTGGTGGATGTTAGGATACCTGTGATTGGTTGATGTTGGGATACCTGTGATTGGTTGATGTTGGGATACCTGTGATTGGTTGATGTTGGGATACTTGTGATTGGTGGATGTTAGGATACCTGTGATTGGTTGATGTTGGGATACTTGTGATTGGTGGATGTTGGATGCCTGTGATTGGTGGGTGTTGGGATACCAGCAGTTGGTGGATGTTAGGATACCTTGGATTGGTAGATGTTAGGAATCCTGTGATTGGTGGATGTTGCGATACCTGTGATTGGTGGATGTTGGGATACCTGTGGTTGGTGGATGGGATACCTGTGATTGGTGGATGTTGTTGGGATACCTCCTGTGATTGTGGTTGATGTTGGGATACTTGTGATTGGTGGATGTTAGGATACCTGTAATTGGTTTGATGTTGGGATACTTGTGATTGGTGGATGTTAGGATACCTGTGATTGGTGGATGTTGGGATACCTGTGATTGGTGGATGTTAGGATACCTGTGATTGGTTGATGTTGAGATACCTTGATTGGTTGATGTTTGGGATACTTGCTGATTTGAATGGGTTACAGGATACCTGTGATTGGTGGATGTTGGGATGCCTGTGATTGGTTGATGTTGGGATACCTGTGATTGGTGGATGTTGGGATACCTGTGATTGGTTGATGTTGGGATACCTGTGATTGGTGGATGTTGGGATACCTGTGATTGGTGGATCATTGGGATACCTGTGATTGGTTGATGTTGGGATGCCTGTGATTGGTGGATGTTAGGATGCCTGTGATTGGTGGATGTTGGGATACCGTGATTGGTGGATGTTGGGATACCTGTGATTGGTGGATGTTGGGATACCTGCGGTTGGTTGATGTTGGGATACCTGTGATTGGTGGATGTTAGGATACCTGTGATTGGTTGATGTTGAGATACCTGTGATTGGTGGATGTTGGGATACCTGTGATTGGTTGATGTTGGGATACCTGTGATTGGTAGATGTTAGGATACCTGTGATTGGTGGATGTTGGGATACCTGTGATTGGTGGATGTTGGGATACCTGTGATTGGTGGATGTTAGGATACCTGTGATTGGTAGATGTTAGGATACCTGTGATTGGTGGATGTTAGGATACCTGTGATTGGTGGATGCTAGGATACCTGTGATTGGTGGATGTTAGGATACCTGTGATTGGTTGATGTTGGGATACTTGTGATTGGTGGATGTTAGGATACCTGTGATTGGTGGATGTTGGGATACCTGTGATTGGTAGATGTTGGGATACCTGTGATTGGTTGATGTTGGGATACCTGTGATTGGTGGATGTTGGGATACCTGTGATTGGTTGATGTTGGGATACCTGTGATTGGTGGATGTTGGGATACCTGTGATTGGTGGATGTTAGGATACCTGTGATTGGTTGATGTTAGGATACCTGTGATTGGTGGATGTTGGGATACCTGTGATTGGTTGATGTTGGGATACCTGTGATTGGTTGATGTTGGG